TTCACCTGTCTTGTGGCCTTTTTCCTCGCGTCTCAATCCTGTGGGTTATTGCGAGTTTAAGACATTGCGGTCCAGTGCCATCAGTTTTCTAATTCGTGTTCAGTGATTCCTATTGCGTAGTTCGTGTCCTGAATTCTGCGCGTAACTTCACTACTACTACTTCTATTATCACTACAATAACTTCCTACTCCAATACCGAAACGCAACACATACAACCACGAAGAAGAGCCCAGGAATGCTTTTTAAATCCAGACGCTTGCGATCCTCCCTACAGTACCTCAACTCCAGTGACGTCGTCAAGCCATGGGTCAAGCCATGGTGGAAATTACCAATCTGAATGATGCTACTGTGCACAAGCGACACGTGGACCGAATTCGCTTCAAGTCATTCACGGACCAGCGGCATCAAGAGACAAGCGAGGGCGACAGTCGGTTGCATACCCCATCAGCACAACCGACGGAGCCGCATGAGTCAGATGTGCAGAAACAACCAGTCGAAACACAAGGACACCGCCAGGAACGGGCGGAGCCAACGATTGCAGTCCGCAGGTCTAGCCGTTAGGCGAGCCAGATTAATGAGGCACTCTTGAGGGATGAGAGTTGTGGTGATCCAGACCTCCGTGACCGCAATCCATGCACGATTAGGTACAGTTTCATGTCATCCAATCACCGTTCAGGAAGCTNCAATTTGACGCAAGATATGATGCAATATTATCGGTGGGAACTAAGGTAGCCAATGATCTTTTCTTGTGTACATATATATTCACTTTCATTTCCTTCAATAAACGACTTTGTGATTCGCCTGTCTTGTGGCCTTTTTCCTCGCGTCTCGATCCTGCGGGTTATTGTGAGTTCAAGACATTGCGGTCCAGTGCCACCAGTTTTCTAATTCTTGTTCTGTGATTCCTATTGCGTAGTTTGTGTCCTGAATTCTGTGCGTAATTTCACTACTACTACTTCTACGATCACCACAATCTGCCTGGTAGAAATCCATGCTGAAACTTTGAAAGTAAATTATTGGCGCCGAGGTGCTTTGAGATCGCGTCTTTTAGCATGCGCTCTAGAGTTTCTCTCGGGACGTTAGTCAGTGAGATATGACGGTAGCTTACTGGAAGGAATCTACTAAATGTTTTGTATATGTGGGAGAGAACCGCGGCTTTTCAGCGAGAAGGGATTAGCCCTTCATCCATGCACCGTTGGAAGAGTCAGGTGAATGGGCCAGCTGAGAGATCCTCCGATTCTTTAGGAATATCAGGGCGTACTTTGTCGGGCCCCATAGCGCAGTAAGGGTTGAGATTCCGTAGTTTTTTCTCTACGTCTAACTGTGAGAAAGTGATACGGCTGAGCGTAGAGTTTAATGGAAACGGCTGTAGTTCCGGGTGGGTAGTAATGGGAGTAGAGCTGAAGATGATCTCGTGATGCTTTTCAAATTCGCCTGCACTCTGTGAAGGGGCAGTTACTTCCGTTCCATCTGGTAACTTGATGGAGAGAGGGTGGTGAGATGTGCCGCGAAGTCGACGGATATACTTGTAGAGGAACGGTCTGTTTTTTTGAGCTCGTTCAAGTATAACTTTTTGCGTGCGCAGTTTGTAATCTCTAATATTTGAGCGGCAGATGTTCCTAAGCCTTTTGAAGGCTAGTCCATCAGGTTCGAGTCCCGTTTGCTTGTATTTTGCAAACAGTCTAGACCGCTCATCTAATAGCCTACGGATGGGCCGAGGGAGAGGTGGTTTAGCACTGAAGCATGCGAGAACTCAGGGGACGAATCGCTCGTCAGCTGAAGTGACGATTTGTTCAATATGTTTCGTAAGATTGTCTACGGGCAGGTCTAGGGGAAGACCGTTAAATTGTGCTCTAAGAAACTTTCTTAAGGAACCGAAATTATAACGCTTGAAGGATCTGACCATTTATGGACATTCTATTTTGGTTTTCCAGTCCGTAATGTAGTCAAATAGCAGGACTATGTGGTCGCTCTTTCCGGGAAGTGGAAGGAGATTTACCAAGTCCATCTGATTTTCTTCATTCGTTATAATCAGATCTAGCAATAAAGGGGCCTGACCCGGTCGGAACCTCGTAGGTTGATCTATGTGTTGAGTCCAGGAGTTTTCTAGTACTAGATCGATAAGAGGATGGCCAAAATGAAGGTCTGAAGAGTATGCTCTGAGCCAATCAAGACCCGGGACATTGAAGTTACCGGTAATTAGAAGGAGGGTGAAAGGATGGGTGCCACTTACAGACTTTAACTGGTCAATGAGTAGTTGGCTTTCGAGGGGGGAGCTCTGCGGTGGACGGCACACGACTCCAAGTAGGAGTGAGACAGACCTTGAGAGTTTGAGTTTAACCCATAGAGTATTTATCTATAATAAGAAATGGAGGAGGGAGGGCGCAACTAAAATAAGCTTTGACACCACCAGCTCTGCCCCGAGCTGAGTCTGTTCTTATAAATGTAAAACCGGGAATGGAGATCTCCCCGTTCGGAACATTGTCGTTCAGCCAGGTCTCAGTGAGGGTGATAACATGGGGTTGTTGCTCTAAGGTAAGTTGCTTTAATTTGAGAACTTGGTTTGGGAGGCTAAGACAGTTGCTAGAAATGCATTTAAGTATGCCTCCATCAGCGTTCTTGAGTTTGTTAGGGAGAAAGACGGGACCGGGTGAGCAGTCGGAAGGGACATTAGTGGTGGTCGATGTACGGTTTGAGCGTGCCTTGGTCGGAGCGCTATCTTGGGAGGGTGCTTCACCATCGCAGGGGCTTTCTTTATGAGCCTCTCCGGCGGTCGCCCCCTTCGTCCGAAAAATTGCCTCGTTTGCCATTGTTGACCTGGGAGGGTACACCGCAGGAACTACCATTCAAAGGGTGAAGGGTTCGTCCTTTATCGGCCTCTGGCCGCTTTAGTGGTGTGTTCGAACGCACCTGGTTGCGACTGGGAGGATCCCCGGGGAGTCCTCTTTTAATGTTCAGTGGGGCTGGGTTGCAAACCGGGCTGGGTTTAGTCTCCTTTTTGCCTTTCAGCTCCTTTTGCCTCTTATTCACAGGTGCCTCTATTGAAATCCGGTCCTGTTCTATAAAACTATTGTTTACTGAGCTGGCCGCCATTGTTTAAGGTAAACCACAGTCTCGTCTAAGGGTATGGGGTCTGGGGAATAGGTTTGGGGCTTAAGAACTTTTGGGTCCAACCGAACTACTGAGATCAAGGCGCCTCTCAATCGTTCGGTGTCTCTGGGGTCAACTTTGGGACCTTATACCCTGGGCTGTGAGAGTCTCATGTGGAAAGGTTTGTCAATGGAGACACTCCTCAGGCCCAACCACGAGCGTTTTAGGGTGGGTGCTTGGGTGAGAATATCATTGGCGTGCTTGGAAGACCTCAATTCGACAAGAAAGCCCAAACGTCTCGGTAAACCTTTGGCGGTTAGCCAAGTACAGCTAATGGGCTTGTACGTATCCGGTTCTAGAAGGCTGAATATATGCTTACATATACTTTCCAGTGTCTGACCCAGAGAACCTCCTCCAAAATATAACCCGCTTGGCACATAGTTCTCTATCCTTTAGTTTCTTTGCGGTATCCAATATTTCTTGCAGCCGTGTTCGCAGCGCAAGTTGTTGGGACAGACTTTAGGAGCAGAGCGTGTAATTTGGCGAATTGGTTACCAAATATACTCAGCCTAGCTTTAAGGTCTTTTGTTTCTAAGGCTTGCTCGTGAATAAGTCCTAACAGATCAGCTGGAGAGTCCTCTGAACTCAGGGTAGCCTCGTCTTGACGCATTAGTAAGGTATCTTCGTCTAGAGACGGAGGAAGCTGATGAAAGGACAACATGTATAAAAGTTCATTAGCAGTAGTAAATTTTTTTATTTTCACAAAGGCAAATTGAGAATAATGGGAGATATAGACTACCGATAAATTGGACAGCAAGGTAGGATCAAATTTCGAACGTAACGTACACGATCAAGGTCTAGGTGTGTGTGATCGTACGATCAGTCTAACAATTAACTCGCCAACTTGGTGAGATGAGATCCTATTTCTCATTCTTATTTCAGCAGAGCTGGGTGCCCACTTAGTGAGCATACCATCGAAGGAATTCTGCACGCTCGAATGGCTGTGACCATATTCAGTCCTGTGCAACCTGACCTGACCTTGTAGTGGAAAAGATACTACATATACGAATAATAATGAAATAAACGGTACAA